AAAATGAATGTCTGGGAAGTTATTTGTGATGGTGTTCATGGGGGTTTTTGGTGGAGGGGAGAGATGAGAATGTTGACTCTGTATCTCAGAAGGCTTGATTTATTATTTTATTATATATATTACATTAAAACCATACTAAAAGAATAGAAGAAAAGTTCTCATCAGAAGGCTGGCTAAGAATAGAAAAGAATGACAACAAAGGCAGCTCTCTCAGACTCTCTGTCCAAGCCAGCTGATTGTGATTGGCCATTAATTATGAACATCCAAGATGGACCAATCACAGATGCACCTGTTGCATTCCACAGCAGCAGATAATCAATGTTTACATTTTGTTCCTGAGGCCTCTCAGCTTCTCAGGAGGAAAAAATCCTAAGGAAAGGATTTTTTATGAAATTGTCTGCAACAGTTATTATCTTTAGTCTATAATTAAAAAGCAGAGAGGGTGTTCTAAGGAACATTAGTTATAGTATCATATACAATGGCTTGGGACAGGAGGGACCTTAGAGCTCATCCCATCCCACCCCCTGCCCAGGGCAGGGACGCCTTCCACCATCCCAGGTTGCTCCAAGCTCTTTCCAGCCTGGCCTTGAACTCTTCAGGGCTGGAATCAGTAATGGTGCCTGCAGTTCTATCCTAGCATGTCTGGTAACTCAGAACTGCTTTAGCACACACAAGCTGCTCTGCTCTTGTCTTTTCACAGTAGTTATGTACTGTTCCAAAAGTGCAGGGAGCTGTTGTTTTGCACTTTAGTGTCTTTTGTCTCTTTGCTTACAAACAAACATTGTAACTGCAAATCCTCTTTTGCTTTTAGCGTCGAGAAGCCCGGAAACAAGAACAGGCCAACAACCCATTTTATATTAAAAGCTCTCCTTCCCCTCAGAAGGTGAGTCTGAATTGCAATATCTCACTGGACTCTGCTGTCATTGTGAAGGATCCCTGAATATCAGAGCTGCAGCCTCCTCTGGGATATTTCCCCTGCAGTTCTGACCACTTTATAATGCATGGACTGGAGTGGCTGCCTACAACTGTTTTTATAACTCGTGTTTGTGCTGAGAATCTCCTGAGTGCCCTGGTACCCCCAGGGCAGCCTGTGAGAGTCTGTGCAGTTTGTCCCAGCCCTGGGTGATGGCAGCACTCACAGGCACCTCACTCAGAGCCCTGCAGAGGGTGACCCTGGAACTCACAATTTATTTTGTGATCAGAAAGTTGTTGTGGTCTCTGAAAACCTTTTTCAGGGAAAGAACTTCCTTTATTCCTTCTGTGTCTCTCTATATCTGAAGGACTGCCCCATATTCCTCAACTCCAATCTCCAAATTTATCTTCTGAAGTGGCAAGTTATTAGCAATAAAACAAACCAAAAATTCTTCATTCTGAGAGCTGCAGTAATTCTTCATTCTGGGAGCTGCAGTAATTCTTCAGGGCAGTGGTGGGGTTAAAAAGCTGTAGCTAAGAGTAGGGTCCTTTATAATAGTTATCAACTGGCTTTAAAACACCCTCTGCTACCACACAGAATTATTAACAAGCTGTTCCATTCCTATCTTTTAAAATGTTCACTTAGGGGTTGAACTGCTTGATGTTTTGTAATATTTCTGTTTACAGAAATTCGTGCTGGCAGTGCTCAGAAAGTAACAAATCTTTCTTTTCCCAGCGATACCAAGACACTCCAGGGGTGGAACATATTCCTGTGGTCCAGATTGACCTTTCTGTCCCATTAAAAGTTCCAGGTAAGCACAACTAATCTTTTAAATTTAATTAAAGAAATTCAGTTTAGCAAAAGTCATAATTCTTTCTTAGGACTTCCACCTGAGGTTCTGAAGGGCAAGGAACACACTTCCATTAGAGTCTTAAATATATCTCCTTAATTTACATTTGGAAATAGTACTTTGCAGTCTGAGTTCCTTTCAAGATAATATTAGAAGTAGTTCTGTGATTAGGAATGTCATGCAGCCAGGTGTGTAGCATGTAGAGGAACCACAGTTCTGTGTGGGAGCAGCCACCTTGAATGGAGGAGATGAAGGAGACATGAAATAGAATCTAATGGTAGAGATACTGTTTGAATATCTTATTTCAGTTATCAGAAGTGGTTGTGTATCTAAGGAGTGGTTGGATACAGCACTGAAAAGCTGTTGATAAAGTTCTTTACATTACAAGTACAGCAGCAATGTCACCAATTCTCCTTAAAATCTCAATGTTTGGGTGCTCCTTGTAATGCAGTAATGCAGCCAAGAGTCACAGAGCAGGGTTGAGCTCTGTCCTGTTTCTGGAGAGATGCAGTGCACAGCAAAGCTGGTGCCTGGGGGCTGTGTGGAAGCACAGAGATGTGGATGAAGCAGGATCAGGGCACACTCCTGTTGTGGTGTTTCAGTGCCCAGTCCTTGTGCTCTGTACCTGAAAGCAGCTTGGCTTTCCCCAGGAATGCCCATGTCAGACCAGTATGTGAAACTGGAAGAAGAGAGAAGGCATAAACAGAAACTGGAGAAAGACAAGAAAAAGAAAAAGCAGAAAAAGGAGAAGAGAGGGAAACACCACCGGCACAACTCCCTGCACACCGAGAGTGAGGAGGACATTGCTCCAGCTCACCACGTCGACATCATCACAGAGGAGATGCCAGAGGTCAGTTCCTGTGCTTGGCCTCTGGGATTTATCTGTGTGCAGCTCTTGAGAGGCTTTTGCCCCCACAGCTGCAGCCAGTCTGTGATGTGGCAGTTCCAGAGCTGTTTCAGAAGTGACTGAGATGATCCCAGGCTGTTCTTTGCAGGGGAAGAAATTACTGTTTATTTTTTTTCACAAAAAGACAAAAATTGCCACTGAAGCTATTAAAGTCAAAACCAACCAAACAATGTTCATCCCTGCTCTAAAAGTAACACTGTCCAAATAGCATTTATTGTGCTCTGCTGCTTCACTTTGACAGTAACTTGCTGTCTAGTCAGCAGCTTTGCAGCTGATGATAATTAATTGCAGATGCTAATGATGTAATCTGTATTTGTTTCTAAAATATCCTTTAATCAAAACCGAACAGCAGCAATTCAAGTCCTGCTGTTTATGAAGAAGGGGTTTCTGTTCCAAATTAATCTTGAAACTGGCTGCTGCACTGAAGTGCATTGTTCCCATAACTTACTGAGCCTGACTGCAGCTGGCCTCTGCAGGGTTCACAGGCTCCAAAAAATGTTAATTTGGGTGGTGTTAAGCTTGAGTTTGAAAATTGCAGTAGTTTGCTGCCTCAGTGGGTGTCTCTTTACTCTCCTGCAGAATGCTTTGCCCAGTGATGAAGATGACAAAGATCCCAATGATCCCTATAAGGCACTTGACATAGACCTGGATAAGTAAGTGCAGTTTGTGTGTGAGTTCACGGAGTTGCTGAGGGAGTGCCTGAGGGCAGGGCTGGGGCTGAGCAGGCAAAGCACAGCAGGCCATGAGGGGAAAAGGCTGAAGGCTCTCCCATGGCTTTGAGACCTCAGGTGCTCATCCAGCTTTGGCTCCCACTGCAGCCTGGATGATAAAATCTCAACTCCTGAGTATGGGAGGGGTTTGGGAGTGGCTGGGGAGTCACTAAATGTAGTGTGAGTGTGACTGAAGGAGTCTGGGAGCACAGACAGTGTCACTGGATCAGGGGGGTTACTCTGAGGGTTGGGTGTCTCAGTGTCTCTGCTGTCACCTGTGTTGGCACTGAGTGTGAGCTGTGTCCATCTGTCCCCCTCAGAAGCTGTGTCCATGTTGTGTCACTGACCAGAGACCCCCAGGCTGTCCCACCCACTGCCCTGTGCCCTGCAGTCCCACTGTTGGGTTGTTGTGCTGTGACTGAGCTGTGTCACCCCTGTGCCAGTGCCAGCACTGAGCCCTGGGCTGTGCAGTGTTGCACAGGGAGATTGGCTTGGATTCTTTTACAAAATCACCATGCTAAAAATAATTGCTGATTTATGGTCCAGGGATGCCTCCTGTAAATTTGTGAAGACTGTGCAGGCCCATGTGGGTGTGTGTGGGATCTCTCTCTTCCTCTGATACTTGAGTCTGTGCCTTTCTTTGCAGTTCCAAATTTATAGGGCTTTGGCCTCTCAGTACCTTGTGAAAAAATGAATAAACACTTTCTGAGGAACTCCTTTTTTGGAAGGCCAAAATCTGCAGTGACAGATATATAAAAGGAAATGAATTTCTGCCTGTAGCCCCTGTATTTGCATGGTGATTCTCAGCAGCACTGGGGGCTGTGCTCAGGAGGCATCCAGGGCTGCTGGATTGTTCCATCCATTCCCTCCCTGTGCCGTGGGTGCTGTGCTCTCCTGTCATGGTTTCTCATGTCTGTGTCCTCTCTCTTTCTTTCTGTGCTTGCACTGCTCTGTCTGTCACGCTCACACGCAGTCTGGTTTCAGGGAAGCCTCCCAGGTAAGGATATCTCCTGAGAGTTGACCTTTGTCAGGTTGGTTGATTTTGGACAGGGCACGTCCTTGAAGGGTGGTGGAACTGTTAACTCAGAGACTCTCACATTTGTGAGTCTGTTTTGTCACTGGCTTTCAGCACCAGTGCTGTTCCTGTACAGATATATATGAAATAGTAAAAGATGAGGCCTGTTTGTTGCTCAATTAAAAAATTAATTGGTTCTGGTTCTTAATGCAATATAAGCAAAAAAAAAAAAGAGGCAGTTAAGGCCATTAGAAATCTTCCTGAAGTTGTGTTTGCTGTGCCAATGTGAAAATTAACATTAAATGAAAGCTAATAAATAGAAAAATATGCAGTTGGTGAAATTCTTGCTGGTTTCTGGAAATGTTTGACAAGAATGAGAGAAATTTTTGTGGTGTTTTTTTTCCTAAGTAATGGATTTAGGATGCAGTGTAAATATCACCTGCTGTTGGTGCTTTTTGCAAACAGGTGTTTGAAGTTACATTTAACTTACAAAATGTGATAGTAGAGTAGAAATTCCTAGTGCAAACTTCCAAAATAAAAATTACTTAGAATAATTCCCAGTTAGGCTGATCAGTTCATCTAGAACAACAAACCCCACACCCTCCAAGGGCTGCTGGAGCCATGCTGACATTCCACTGCTGAAATTTCCCCTCTGCTGGAAATGCTGTTCCACATCCCTGCTTTTCCTTGGAGAGAGGGATTCCATGGAAGCACAGTGGAACATGGAGCTGTTCCTCAGCCTCTGCTGGCACCTCTAAGGGTTAAACAGCAAAACCTTGGCTCTGTCACCTTCCAGTTGTTCCCTCTGACTCCTGACCCACAAGGGCAATGTCTGCAGTGCATAAGTAAACTCCAGGTGTGGAAGGATGCACTGATTTTAGGCTTGGGGGCCCAGCTCCCTCAGGACAAAGCAGAGCTTGTGTTGGCCAGGTTGTGTGGCTGAGGGAGTGTGTGCAGCAGGTAATGGACTCTTTCTTTTCAAGACCTTTAGCAGACAGTGAGAAGCTGCCAGTGCAGAGACACAGGAATGTGGAGACCCTGAAGTCACCAGACTCAGAAGTTCCCCTAGTAGAGAAGAAGAGCAAGAAACCCAAAAAGAAGGAAAAGAAACATAAAGATAAAGAGAGAGATAAAGGAAAGAAGAAAGAGAAAGAGAAAAAGGTGGTAGAGGAGGAGGAAGATGAAGTAAAAAAGGTAATTCTCCAAGATTTGCATTATTTTAGCTCCTGCTGTTATTTATTGCTGAGTTCATTTTGTTGCCTAGGAACAGTTGCATTTAACAGTTCAAACAGCTCAATGCATTCATTCACCCTATATTTCCTTCAATTTTTACTACTGTAGCAGCAGGTATTTAAAGATTTCTGTTAATAAAAATAACACTTACTGAGCCTCCTTAGTTAGCAGAATTCAGCTTACTGCAGCCTACACAGCAGATCTGCCAGAGCTCACGTGGAGCTGAGTTTGCTGATATTTTGTCTGTTCTCCAAGTGGGAAACTCCTAAGCAAAATATCTGGAACTGGTTTTGTGTCATTTGTGGTGCATCCTGTCTCCCATGTGCTCCAGAACCTTGCAGTTACAAACCCTGCCCATGGCTGCCAGTTGCTGTCAGGATTTGAAGCATCCTCCTGTTAATCCCCTGCAGAGCTGCACATTCCCTCTGCCCTGCAGCCCTTGGGATGCCAGGGGTGCCCTGCCCTGCTCTGGGGGTGCTGGGTCTGCCTTTGGAAGTGCTCAAAGACTGAGGTGAAACTTCTTGGAGTGTTTGCTCCTGAAGGTGCCACAGCATCTGAGCATGAGGAGCGCTCTGCAGTGCTGCATTTCCATGGGAACTTCAAATTTTGGTTTAATTGTTGTAGATTCACAGAATCCCAGACTGGATTGGGTTCAAAGGAACCTCAAAGCCCATCCAGTGCCAGCCCTGCCATGGCAGGGACACCTCCCACCATCCCAGGCTGCTCCCAGCCCTGCCCAGCCTGGCCTTGGGCACTGCCAGGGAT